ATTTGGATATGTGGTGAAGATAACAGCTAACAGAAGGCGTGAACAGGTTAAGTTTATAGTGATCGGGGAAGCATCCTCTTGAGAGTCAGTTTCACAAAGCACTGGTTCATAGGAAGCAGCTGCTCAAGTGGAAATTTCATCTTCTTTTGTATTTCATTCATTAACCAAAGACCATCTTTGCCAAAAATGGTTTCAAAGGCATCCAATTAATGGAATGACCATTAGCTTTTCCAGATATTAATCTAATCAAAAATTTATGGTCCATCATTAAAAGGTGTGTGAGAATAGAAAACAATATTCAGGTAAATATCTCTGGAAGCAAAAGAAACCAATATATATGAAATGGACAAAAAATCCGACAATTATTTTAAGACATTTTTTATGTTTATACATTCTTTTTATAGATACAAATATTTAAGTAAATGCTCTGTTTCATAATAAACAGTATTAACAACATTTACTGGCCTGAATGTCCGAGAAATTGTCATAGAAAATATGCATCCTCTGACAGGAATCAAACCTGTATCCTATAGCCTGATGTGCTTTTAGCGATTTCACCACAACGTACATGAGAAAATCATGGAAAATTGTAGTTTAAAAACAGTAAAATCGATCTTGCTAACGAAAACACTTCTTTGTGGCGAAACCAGTAAAAGCACGTCAGGCTATATGACGGCTCTGTATAGGATACAGGTTCGATTCCTGCCGGAGGACGCATATTTTCTATGAAAATTTCTTGGACATTCAGGCTGGTAAATGTTGTTAATACTGTTTATTATTAAACAGAGCATTTACTTAGATATTTGTATCTATAAAAAGAATGTATAAACATAAAATGTCTTAAAATAATTGTCTGACTTTGATCCATTTCATAATGTGTGACATCATTTGGATACACTTTAAGCAGATATGAATGGACATGAGAGATTCATGGAAGATTGCAGTTTAAAAGCAGTAAAATTGACCTTGCTAACCGAATGATCCTCTGTGGCTCAATCGGTTGAGGCACATCAGACTATATGACGGTTCTGTATAGGATACAGGTTCGATTCCTGTCAGAGGACGAATACTTTCTATGAAAATTTCTCAGATATTCAGGCTGGTAAATGTTGTTAATACTGTTTATTATAAACAGAGCATTTACTTAAGTATTTGTATCTATAAAAAAGAATGTATAAACATAAAAATGTCTTAAAACGAATGTATGTTGAAGCAGAAACAGTAGAAAAGTTAATGAAATCAAAAGCTGAAAGACTGATGAAGGTTATAAAATGTCAAAGAGTTCATATTAACATTTCATATAATAAAATAATAATTTATTCGGCCATATGGGATATTTTGTTGAGCAAAAAATATTTTTCTGACTAAAATGTTTTGGGTTTATTTATAAAAAGAGAATTTATTTTGACAAACATCAAAACAAGTTACAAATATTTCTCATGAAGGAAATAAATTTTATCATCTGAAATTCACTTGATAAATTCCTCATATAAGTATATCCTGAAAATTTTACTAACATTGGTTAATATTAATTTTATTGTAAAAACATAGTGTAGTCATTCTAGAGAAGGGGAAGTTTATTACTTGATAACGATAGAAAACTGATGCCCCATTTTATGTCCAGCAGTAACATACTCATTTTTAATATAAATATAACTTGAAAATTTTTCCAATATTGATTTTCTATGCCTTATCAACCCTTGGTAGGTTATTTAAAGCCAGAAAATATTTTTAGATTGTAAGAAATTTTCTTTTGAGATAGTGGTTTAGTGATATAAGTCTTACTAATTAACCCATAGCAGGAGGAGAAGAGGTGGATAGATACCTAATCCTAATCTGATAAACAAACAAGAAATTATAATGTAGATATTAAGTGGGGGATCAATTCTATATTACAACAATGCATAAACTGATCCCTCATTTTGTGGCCACAGTAGTTTTCATACATTTATATTCCAGAGAATGTAAATAAAACTAAAAGACATGCTTGTGTAGCTAATCAATATTGCATTGATTGATTCATTGATTTGATTTCTATGGTTTATCAACCCGTTGTAGGCTATTTAAAGCCAGAAAATATTTTAGATTTTAAGAATTGGGGTGGGGGTCATAATAGTTTATTGATACAAGTCTTACTAATTAACCCATACTTGGGGAAGAAGAGGTAGATTCATATTTTTCCCTAAGGTATTTGTGTGTAAATGAATAATGAACTCAACGGTAATTGGAACTTGGCACTCTAATTAACAATTCCAAGAAATTATCTTTTTACACCACCCACACATTCAAGCTTACAGCACCTTGTATTCACAAACGGTCACCCATCTAGGTACAGACCAACCGTGACATTGCTTAACTTTGGTGATAGTACAGGAACCTGTGCTTCAATGTGATGTGGCTGTAAGTCAACAAGGACATAGTGACACATCTGACATAGTATAGACATTTTAAGGGGGTCAGTTTATTACTTCATAACAATATAAACTTAATCCCTCATTTTATGTCCAATAGAAACTTTTTTTTAAATATCTAATGTAAGTATATCTTGAAAACTTTCAAAAAAATTGGTTGATTAATACCAATTTTATTGTGGAATTATTGTAGTAATTCTGAAGGGGGATCACTTTATTACTTGATAACTATATAAAACTGATCCCCCACTTTACAGACAGTAGAAATTCATATTGACATTTACCAAATATAACCGGAAAATTTTACCAACATTGGTTTATTAATATTTTCTTGCGAAAATATTGACTTGCATAAATCGGGGGTCAATTTATTACTTGATACGAAGAGAAAATTTATCCCCGACTTTATGTCCAGCAGAAATTTTCATCAATATTTAATGGAAATATATCGTGAAAACTTCCCAACAATTGGTTGATTAACACCAATTTTATTTTGAAAATGTTGACTTGTGTAATTCAAAGACAACCAATTAAATGGTCCCCAGCCTTCCGAACAGATAATTAGCAGTCTATTATTAAAAGAGATTTATATAAGAATACGAACAGTACACAATAAAAACTGCTGCATGTGATATTAGTATTAGATTAGCTGAAAATTGAATGAAAGCAATGGTCAAAAACTAGATGCAATTTATAGAATGCCAAGAAGGCCATATTAGCAGTTAAATGATAAAACAGTAATTTATTTACGTCTATGGTAGATTGTGTTAATCAAACTTGTGTTTCTACAGTCTATATCTTTTGGCTTTATTTAAAAATAAAAAATTGGTGTTTTCTTCATAATGACTGACTCCAAAAACTATGTTATTAGTTACATTTTTGTGATAAGGACACAGATATTACAAGCTGAAATTCACGTGATATATTATTTGCATAAATGTAAATTTAGCTTGAAAATTTTACCAACATTGGTAAATTTATTGTGAAAACAAGACTTGAATAGGAAAATATGACATTGTGGATGAACGAACTGAGATAATGAAACATGCATTAATGAAAAATTGCTGCCTAAATACACATATATATATATATATATATATATATATATATATATATATATATATATATATATATATATATTTACACACACACACATAATACATCCATTGGTATATAATCCAGGTGGATCCTAGTAATATTAATTATTAAAACTGATTCACAGAGATCTCGATGTATTTATTATAATATGTATTTTTACAGCAAAAAATAACAAAAATTCCCTCAACATGGGGATAGTGTTAGGGGCTGATGATAGTTGCGTACAGACCAGCTTGAAATAAACTATCCCCATGTTGAGGTAATTTTTTTTTTTTATAGTATATATATATATATATACACACACACACACACACACACATTGTGTATTTAAGCAGAAATCCTTCTTCCACGCAAGCTTCATTAAATATGACAGACAAGGTAATTTGATTAAGTTTTTATATAATTTCTCATATGATCTTATAAATTTTTTACTTTGCATAGATAAATTATAGAGAAACTGTCCAAATTTTTCATTTTTACAAGCGCTTTCGACTTTACCTTTAGCCATTATCAAGGAAGAATTATATTTACTGTTAACTGAAAATGGATTGTTGTGTGTATGTATTTAGCATTATAGAATGTATTATTTTCAAAATACATACATATATATATATATATATATATATAGTTAAATTCCCAGATGAATTCTGTGGACAAGACAGATTGGTATAAAATGACAAGTGGAAAAAATCTTACATTTTGCCGACGCGTTTCGTATTGCGACTTTTTCAAGGCAAAAATGAAATCGAAATATTTTTGTTGTTATAGTTACATTAAAAATCCAAATTTAAAAAGATAGACACTTCTGTGTAAGCCTTTTTTTTTTTTTTGGTTAATGTAAATTACCTTTATAGGGATTATTATTAAAAAAAAAAAAAATAAAATAATAATAATCCCTTACTATAAAGGTAATTTACATTAACCAAAAAAAAAAAAAAAAAAAGGCTTAGAAACAAGTGTCTATCTTTTTTTAAATTTGGATTTTAATGTAACTATAATAACAAAAAAACATTTGATTTCATTTTTGCCTTGAAAAAGTCGGAAAAAAAAAATGCACGGCAAAACCTAAATTTTTTTTCCACTTGTCATTTGATGCTATATATATATATATATATATATATATATATATATATATATATATATATACACACACACACACAAACACACACAAATTTGAATTTACAGAACTACATATCCATATGCACATACAATTTAACCCTATGAAGATCACTCGGATGAAATTGAAAGTACTTGAGAACATAAAAATTATTTGAAAGAAAAGTTTGGTATTTTGCTTAATCATTTTTCTATGGCCTCCAAGAAATTAATTTGTGGACTCAAAAGGATTAAAACTGAAATAAATAGACCTAATATGTCCAAATTATTTAACCAAACCTTACTGAATGTGCACACACACACACACACACATATATATATATGAAGACACTGAGATAGATCTGAACAGAATGAGATAGATAAATTGAAACAAACTGAGATAGATAGACACTTAGATAATGAATAGACTGAGATAGATAGGAAAAGAGATAGATACATAGATAGATAGGAAAAGAGATAGATAGATACATAGATAGGAAAAGAGATAGATACATAGATAGGAAAAGAGATAGATACATAGATAGATAGGAAAAGAGATAGATACATAGATAGATAGGAAAAGAGATAGATACATAGATAGATGGGAAAAGAGATAGATAGATAGATGGATGGAAAAGAGATAGATACATAGATAGATGGAAAAGAGATAGATACATAGATAGATGGGAAAAGAGATAGATACATAGATAGATGGGAAAAGATGAGATACATAGATAGATGGGAAAAGAGATAGATGGATACATAGATGGGAAAGAGATAGATACATAGATAGATGGGAAAAGAGATAGATACATAGATAGATAGGAAAAGAGATAGATAGATACATAGATAGGAAAAGAGATAGATAGATACATAGATAGGAAAAGAGATAGATAGATACATAGATAGGAAAAGAGATAGATACATAGATAGATAGGAAAAGAGATAGATACATAGATAGATAGGAAAAGAGATAGATACATAGATAGATAGGAAAAGAGATAGATACATAGATAGATAGGAAAAGAGATAGATAGATACATAGATAGATAGGAAAAGAGATAGATAGATACATAGATAGATAGGAAAAGAGATAGATACATAGATAGATAGGAAAAGAGATAGATACATATATAGATAGGAAAAGAGATAGATACATATATAGATAGGAAAAGAGATAGATACATAGATAGATAGGAAAAGAGATAGATACATAGATAGGAAAAGAGATAGATAGATACATAGATAGGAAAAGAGATAGATGGATACATAGATGGGAAAGAGATAGATACATAGATGGATGGGAAAGAGATAGATGCATAGATAGGAAAAGAGATAGATACATAGATAGATAGGAAAAGAGATAGATAGATACATAGATAGGAAAAGAGATAGATAGATACATAGATAGGAAAAGAGATAGATACATAGATAGATAGGAAAAGAGATAGATACATAGATAGATAGGAAAAGAGATAGATACATAGATAGATAGGAAAAGAGATAGATACATAGATAGATAGGAAAAGAGATAGATACATAGATAGAGAGGAAAAGAGATAGATAGATACATAGATAGGAAAAGAGATAGATACATAGATAGATAGGAAAAGAGATAGATACATAGATAGATAGGAAAAGAGATAGATAGATACATAGATAGGAAAAGAGATAGATACATAGATAGATAGATAGGAAAAGAGATAGATAGATACATAGATAGATAGGAAAAGAGATAGATACATAGATAGATGGGAAAAGAGATGGATACATATATAGATGGGAAAAGAGATAGATAGATGCATAGATGGGAAAAGAGATGGATACATGGATAGATGGGGAAAAAGAGATAGATACATAGATGGGAAAAGAGATAGATACATAGATGGATGGGAAGAGATGGATACATAGATAGGAAAAGAGATAGATACATAGATAGGAAAAGAGATAGATACATAGATAGATAGGAAAAGAGATAGATACATAGATAGATAGGAAAAGAGATAGATACATAGATAGATAGGAAAAGAGATAGATACATAGATAGATAGGAAAAGAGATAGATAGATACATAGATAGGAAAAGACTTAGATAAGAACAAATTAAGACAGGCAAAGATATCTCAAGATGTTAGCATTGTCTTTTACAACTTTATATTGTTGAATTAGTAAGATTTTTTTGACACACACGTGTATACACACAAAATGAAGTGTGCGCATATACATATGTTTGTGTGTGTCTGTGTGCATGTCTGTATTTAAAAATGTGACTATGTCTATGCACACACAGAGACACACGTTAGAAAAGAAGTCTCTAAATATGGATCTGCCTTCATTGGCTAATCACCAGCCTTTAAATCAATCCGTAAGATGGCAGTGTTTAAGAAAAACATATTTTTGAAAAGAGTTTGAAGGAGTTTTCCAAGAGAAAAAAAAATCAATTCCAGAAGGCGAGAAAACAAAATCAATAAAATGTGTTATTTGGATTAGTCTAAAGAGTGTCTAGAAAGTACACAGAATTAAGTGCATTAACATAAGAGATGAAAAGATACACATAACAGTTTTGTATGTCTACTGACAAAATTAATCAAAGCACAACAAAATTTAGAAAGTAAACTTCCCAAAACCCCAGGCATAAGGTCAGGTTGCTGATTAGAAATATTATTAGTAAATAATGTACCAATTCTTGAAATAAATTATATAAATTAATTACATATAACTTATATATATCAAAAGTGAGGGAAATTGTTGCCATTTGGTGTTGACCACAGTGTCCACTTTTATATTTAGACACTCTCTATCCCAGACATCAAGCACATTTACACATAAATATAACATACTTTAAAACTATATCTTTAATGTATATATATATATATATATATATATATATATATATATATATACACACACACACACACATCTTAATTCAGCACCTGAAGATTGCAGTGTGCATAAAACCCTGAGTTGTGCTACTGGGGAAGAAAATATTTATTTAAATATAGTTTATAGCTCTGTTATATTGCAACTAGCACTCAATGTGCAATAATATATATATATATATATATATATATATATATATATATAAAAGGCTCAAACACTAATATTCCATGGTTATAATTTATTACATTGGAATCGTAATCACGATCCAATTCATCAGACCTACAAATTCAAAAAAAGAAGAAAAGAATATATATATATATATATATATATATATATATATATATATATATGTATATTGGTGTAACAACAAAATATATATATTTTGGTGTAACAACAAAAGTGTCCAAATCGTGTAACAGCAAAATTGCCCAATTGTTAGATTAAGCTTCGAACCACTGTATCTTAGAAATGATTAAAGATATCTTATTGGAATTTTCTGAGGTTTTTACAACACTATTGAACTCTACATTGAGCAATAAGAACGTATAATTACTCTCCAAGCTTAACAGAAGAATCTTGATGAAATGGATCATAAACAAATCATAGCTACATGAAGGATTGAAATAAAGTTCAAATATATATTTATTATTCCAGGATCATTTTCCAACTTATTCAAGATGATCTTCACCCTCTCTAGTCTTCTAAATTTCTCTTCTGGAGTAACATGGTATCTCACACATGTTCTGTACAATTTTATTTTCAAGTCTTTTTTCACTGCTCTTTGGACTGCCATAGCCGAAACTCCTCTTTCACATGCCAAAAGTCTTATGGATTGAGTTGGATCTTTTCTAATTGATCTCTTTAGCTCTAAGTTGAAATGATGATCTCTCTTCCTGTTGTGACCTCCTGATCCAGTTTCCCTCTCTACTGTTCCCTCTTTTTAAAACTTATTCACCATTCTCTTGATGGTTCTTGAATGCACATTGAAGCCAGAGTATGAATGTTGGTACCATTACTGAAGGCCTGAATGGTCTTTTCCCTCTCACTATTGATCATTTGGGAAGACAGTACAGCTGATACAAAATGATTTTAACCTGTTCTCTTTCTAGCTGAATAACTCAAAGGGTTTTTCAGTAATTCTTATGACAAATGGTGTCAAGATGGCTAAATGACTTATCTGAAAACCTAGAAAAAAGAAACTCAGTTTAGTAGTTTTTTGATGTGGGATGGACAATTATGCTGTTATAACATTTGGACAATTTTGCTGTTCCACCCTATATACATATATATATATATATGTATATGTAATAATGTATTAGGCCTTAATACCCATAATGCTCTATATTTTATATGTAGTTGAGCCAAAACACAACATGCATGTCCTGAAGATTGTGTTCAAGTATGAAACAGACTGTTACCACTTGCTTTTGGTGTGACACTGAAATCCGAAGGAGCATTGGACAGTAAAAAGGTGCCTTCCAAAAACTAAGCAAAGTATTAAGAAACAGGAAAATTTCATTAGAAACAAAGAGTACTGAACTGCTATATAATATCAGCCTTCTTATATGGTAGTAGATGCTGGACAATTTCCTCACAGATGAAGAGACTTGAAGCAACAGAAATTTGGTTCTACTGAAGGATGCTGAGAATATGATGGAACATGTGAGCAATGATGAGATTTCAGATATATTAGAAACAAACAGGACACATATTTTTTTTTTCAATCATTTCACCCCAAGCAAAGACAATAAAACCACTAGGATGCATAGGGTTACAATTAACTTAATTACTTAACACCAGAAAGAGAGAGAGAGAGTTGAAATTTCTCCAACACATGAGGAAAGAGGGCTTGGAAAATTTGATACTCACAGGACAGAATGATGGCAAGAGGATCAGAAGAAAATAATGCATAACCTACCTGAATAAGTTTCAGTAAATGGATAATGAAGCAAGGTTTTTGAGAGATAACAAAAAGATGAAATTTAGTAAGAGCTACAAAAGACAGGAAATTGTAGAGAGTCATGATTGGTAATGTCCTGAAGGGACAGGTCATATACAGGAAGAAACCCAAAACTCTTCTATTACTATCAACACTCACAATGCGAACTATTATATATATATATATATATAAAATCATTTATTATATATATATAATCATTTATTCAAAAATTATAACAAAAATGTTATAAAATCACTACAAAAATAGCCATTTTGTTTCAACATTTATGGTGTCTTATCAAGTGATGGTGCTGAATGTAGAATGTATTTGTTGGTTATTGGAATTTATTCTGTATGCACCAATCCTATACTTGGATATATATATATATATATATATATAAACGTAAAAGAATGAAGAATAAAATTCAAACATTCCAAACATTAATTTAAAACAGGGTTCAATACAAGAGTAAAGCAATAAATATTTATTATACACTGTTACATTAGAAAATGTAAGTTACTACTACAAAATTGTACGTTTTGTTTCAACATTTAAATAGAATGTCTTTTCAGGTAATTAACAATGATGGTAACCATCATCGTTAATTACCTGAAGGGATGTTTTATTAAAATATCAAAACAAAATGTACAATTTTAGTAATTACTTACATGTTCTAATGTAACACTGTATAATATATATATATATATATATATATATATATATATATATGAATAATATTATTTGATAATTAGTAGTGAAAATTCCAAGGAGGATATAAATCCAAAGAGAGCTCAATGTCAGAACAGAGCAAATTATATATATATATATATATATCCAGGTATGGGATAAGAACAAATGGAGTATAATTCCACTGTAGCATTTAATTTTTTACTCACCAGTTATTTATTATCACCTGAGGAAGCACAAATTTAGTGCTGAAACATGAAAGCTATTGTGTAGCAATTTTTAACGTTTTTGTTTTAATCTCATATCTATCTCCCTCTCTCTATATATATATTTATATTATATATATATATATATATATATATATAGTCTGAAGATCACTTGTGGCATGAAACTGCCAGTTGATATCTATATTCACACTATCTACATGTGTGTGCGTGTGTGTTGGGGTACTGAAAAGTTCTTAGCCTGACAAAAAGCTCTTCCAAATTTAAATAAACTGGATGAGGCTTAGAATTTTTCAGCACTCCCTTGTCTATGTGCAAACAAAGATACGATTTTCACATATGGGAGTGAACAAATAAGTCCATATCTATAGTTATGAGGTAAATTTGGATCTGAAGTTTTCCGTGTATATTGTTACAGAAAAACAGTGGGTTAAGTTTACAGACAAGAAAGGAGATTATGTAGAGAAATAAATATTTTTGGTGTTAAATTTTTTTATTATTATGATGGGATTTAATGAGGCATTTTTCTATATAGTGAGATCAATATATATACACATAAGATATAGATAGATATAGAATATAGAATAGATATATTAGATAGATAGATTAGATAGAAAAATAGATAATGACAAGGTACACATTTTCCAAGTACATCTGCTAGAGAAGTTAACCTATCCTTGTTGGAGACACCTCCTAAGGTACATTTGTATTTGATCAATAACCACATTGCCCACCTGTGATTTATATGCAGATAGATATACAAATACAAAAAGGTTTATATAAGTGTGTTCATGTCTAAAAAACTCATTTATATTTATATAGGTGTATAGATAGGTAAAAAGATATATATATATATATATATATATATATATATATATATATATATATATATGTGTGTGTGTGTGTGTGTGTATGTATTAATTAAAAAAAAAAAAAAACTGTTGATGGAACCAATGGAAACTTGCCAAAACCTAAAACTCTTCTCCAGAGAAAGTCTTGAACAAAAATGTTAATACTGGAAAAAGAAAGAAAAATGGCCTAAGACAAAGTTATATATATATATATATATATATATATATACACAAATGAATATAAAATAGCACACAGTGAGTACTGGTTGTAATATATATATGTAGGGAGAGAGAGAGATATGCACAAAAGAAAAGACTATATATATATATATATATATAAAGACATTATATATATATATATATATATATATATATATATATATATAAAGACATTATATATATATATATATATATATATAAAGACATTATATATATATATATATATATATATAAAGACATTATATATATATATATATATATATATATATATATAAAAAAGACATTATATATATATAAAGATATATATATATATATAAAAAACATATATATATATATATATATAAAGACATATATATATATATATATATATATATAAACATATATATATATATAAAATATATATATATATATATATATATATATATATATATATATATACATATATATATATATATATATATATATATATAAAGACATATATATATATATATATATATATATATATAAAGACATATATATATATATATATATATATAAAGACATATATATATATATATATATATATATATATATATAAAGATATTAATTAATTTAAGTGTATAGAAATATATTGGAAATAGTTGTGTTCATACAGTATGAATTTGAGGAAGCTGGAGAGCAAGAAACCAAATATAAAAGTTGATTTAACTTATGTAGGAGGGATTTTAGGACAAATATGAAACATGTTTTTCATTTCATATATAAAAAGATAAAAAAAATAAAGTAAATTAAAATATATCCAAGATACAAAGAGAAACATTAAAAAGAAAAAAAAAATTCTATTTAATATGAACGTGTGATCTTTTTTGGATTTTTTTTTTTTTTCTTTTTTTACCTCTAATGTGATTGAAATAAGGAAGCATGTAGACAAATGTAAACAAAATGGAGTGGGTGGGAGAAAAATTAAACTGCCGCCATGGGCGGGGGATGTATGGAAGGACGCACACGCACACAGGATGATGTTCAAAATTATCTTTAAATGCTTCTAATTGTTCAAAGACATAAAGAAAAATATTTAAAAAGGAAGAAAAAGTGCTGTTAAAATAAATTTAAATAACAGAATGAAAGAAAATAATTCAAGATGCAAAGCTTGAAAAAGCTTAGCCATTTGAAAATTAATTAAATTAAAAGAGAAAAGTAAGAGGAAATATTTGATTTTCACAATTCTAATGTCTTCAAAACTAATTTATCTAAATTGTTTTTTTTTTCCAAGATATTGAAAATTCACACTTCCTTTCTAAGTTTAAAGGCCATGCCAAAATTAAGCACATTAAAATTGAAAATGATTTTATCAATTTCTCCAATTCTTTACAAAATATCACAAAAGAAATTTTTTTTTCCTACCTTAAATATGTAAGAGTGGAATAGTCAAAATCCACATGTACCTCCACGTCTTTCTCACGATCCTTATCACGGTCTTTTTCTTTACGAAAACTTCCCTTTCGGCGAAAAGAAAAGCGAGACACGGCAATACGATCCATAAATGATCGAGTCAGAAAGCAAAGTGCAGTGCTGTAGGGCTAAGTAATGCACCACCCCCAAGGAGGTAGGCGGTGCCCACGAGGCTGGGGTAGAGAGTTTTAGTAGATTTGGTAGTGTTTACACAGGCTGCCTGTCTGGCTGCTTGATGCAATTTGAGGGACACTCAAGCAACAGAAATGAAGGAGGAGGAGGAAGAAGAAGACGACGATGAAGATGCATGTATTAGTGCTTGAGTGTATGTGGGGGGGAAGTTGTTTTGCATGGTAACAAATCTTTTCACACCTGCCTCGCTCTCTCTCTCTCTCTCTTGAAATCACTCTTACATTTAATGTTTCTTTTTTTTTGATCTGTTAAAATATAGAAAATTAATGTCTTATATTTCTTGGTTTAACTTGAAGTTTTGCCAAAAAAAAAAAAAAGTGACGTGTTGTATCAGATATACAGTCACTTTGTGTAAAATGAGTTACTGCACGTTTTCTTGTTGGCTGGGAAGGGCGGATAATATTGCAGGTGATGGTATTATTAACGTAAGATGAATGCAAGAAAGAAAATATAAATTATCCCTTTGCAATTTGGAATATATACTATTTACCTATGTAGCAGGGAAATTTTCCCTTCCTTTATATCTTTATAAGTAAAATGAAAATATAAAGTTTAAGGATTTTACAAGACTATAGCAGTTTAACTGAAATTAAAGCTATTACATTTTTGGATGTTGTCAAAACTTTTCCAAATCTATGAATGGAAAAGCCTGAAACACACGTTGAATGATTACAATCAGATGCCTCCTTGCTTGTGTGTAGTGATTAACCCTGGCTGTAATAGCAGTAGCAACACTTTTTGAAGCAGTAGTCAGTCGAGTGTGGGCAACTTTGCAAGATAAACATGGAGACTGGGGTGGGGGTATAAAACAGATCACATGGATAAAGCAACGAGAGAGGCAAATAAGAAAACAGACAACACATTGCCAAAAATATTTTTTTCTTATATCAATGGAACATTAAAAAGTACATTTGTTTGTTTGGTTTTTCCACTCACATACTTTATTATATACTCCACTGAATATATATATATATATATATATATATATATATATATATATATATATATATATAAAGGTGTGTGCAAAAAAGTACTTGGCTATGTTTAATAAAATATATGTTTTCTTCTGAGGACTATGTCCTCCAACCTTGTATAAACACTGAATTCAAAACCATGAAGAAGGAAACCACTACACTATTTTGATCCAAGAAATGATGGCAATTCAAAGATAATAAAGAAGAAGCTGTGGAGAGCCATGATTTTCTATACCCTAAATGACATTAAAATTTTTTTTTTTTTTTTTAAGAGGGTGATGGTGGAGTAATGGATAGCGGCTCGGATTGAGGAATTGGAGAGCCAAGTTTGAATTCCAGTCAAATCCATTACATTCACTTACATGCTAATACCTCTTGGGAAAGGTATGAATCCTCTTCTTCTCCCCCCAGCTATGGGTAAATAGCAGGACAGACCGGGTTCTATAGCCTTGGATGGCAACTGGTCTACCACAGAAAGATATGGCAACCTACTGCAGGAAAAAATCTGCCTCGTCAGTCATATATCAAAAGATACATGATCACCTAAGTGTGTATCATGCATTGCGGCACATAACTGACTGACTGCTGAGGACTTATACACGCAAATACACAATATGAAAATACATGCATATACATATTTATATATACATATATTATATAAAAAATAATAAAATAATAATAAAAAAATTATGTGTGTGTGTGTGTGTGTGTGTGTGTGTGTGTGTGTGTGTATGTGTGTAAATTATTTTCAGATACAGTGTAATTGTGAGGGAACAAAATGAATGAAAAGACAAGAGGAAAAACTATTCTTATTAAATCTTTTATTATTTTTCCCAAACTGCTGTTGCTCGAAACTAAAAACAGAAAGAAAATGAGTGACTTTAAGAAAAAAAATCATTTAACATTTTATATTCTCTACCTTAAGTGTCCAACTTTTCAGATGGAAATCCTTCAGAATGGGTAGAAAATAGATGAAAGAATGCGTTTTATCCATGCGTTTTCTATGTCGACAATATACTGGGTATGTAAACCCAACAGAGTTATAAGTTATTGACATTTGAAAAAATGTTCATGAAAGTATATTTTGAAAATAATATCTGATAATGCATTTTGCCTATATGGCTTCATCAGATGGATAACAAAAAATGTGTAGTGTGTGTATGCATCATTATTGTATTATAATAGTAGTATGACTCTCTGGAGGCTTCTAGAACTTGTTTTTGCTTATTTATAAGTTTGTATGTTATGTTATAGCTATAAACTGTTAAATGTGTTAAAAATACATAAGTACTATTGAATTACATCATTAGCAAATTGAAAAATAAAGTTTCTGAAATATTTTGATTTGTTACCCTTATTGCATAAATGGTAAAATCAAATTTTCAGTTTAGGAGTGACATTTTGCCTATATGGCTTCATCAGATGGATAACAAAAAATATGTAGTGTGTGTACACGTCATTATGTATTATAATAGTAGTATGACTCTCTGGAGGCTTCTAGAACTTGTTTTTGCTTATTTATAAGTTTGTATGTTATGCTATAGCTATAAACTGTTAAATGTGTTAAAAATATTTTTAACAGATTTAACAGTTTATAGCATTATACTGAACAGATGCTTGACAGTACTTATTGCTAAATTCAAAGAGCTTTCAAAGCTTCTTCAGATTTTAGATCCCTTATCCTTTGAATTTAGCTCAACTTTCGTTTCATCGGAGAAGAGAATATTTAGTAAAAAATATCAGGTGAGTCACTTTTATCGAACAGCACTGTAGTTAAAGACATTTTTTTTACATTATTAGTATTTAATTACTATTACTTACACTACTGATTTTTAGACTATTGTCCTCATTTTTGTTGTTAATATACATTTCAGCCATTGTGTCCCCCAGCCTTCTTCAGGTGTATATCGATTGGGGTAACCTACAAGGAATTCTGAACTGAACTCTTTATTTAATCTATGGCAATAGGCTGTTCTCTTTCCACTGCTCATGTCTCGGGATATCTCATCTAGTTCTTATTTTTATTTAGTACTGTTCAGTTATTGCTTACCCATTTCCACTGGGTCCAAGTACACACTGCTTGACCCAGGGATTGAACTCACAACCACTATGTCACCAAGTTCACAAACCAATGGTCAATTCAACTCTTGAGATAACAACAGCAATAAAAATGATGACAATAGCTTTAATATAATTTTTTTAATCATCTCATACCAAGTAAGGTAGTAAAGCCACTAAGACACAAGGGGCTTGTGAGTGTGAAAGAACAAGAAAAAAAAAGAGAAACATCAGGAAGTGAGAAAAATAAGACTAATCAAGAAAGTTGATAATGATGGCATTTAAATTTTTGAAGATCAGAGTCGACTGGAAAGTTAGAAGCGAGAAGAGAGTTCCCCAAATGAGAGGTATGAGGAAAAAAACTGTTAGCATAGAACTTACAGTTACATCTAGCCAATTCAACTGCAAATTGATGAGACCTAGTTGCCAATCTAGTACTGCACTTAAATTTCTAAAGCGTAGATACGAAAAAGGAAAATTTATCAGAACAATTACCATGAAAATATTTATTGAAAAGGAATACAGAAAACAAATTACTGTAAAGTGGAAGTGACTGAAGCTGTCAGGACCAATAACATTTCTGATTCTTCTTTGGATTTTATCAAGAATATCTAAATATGCAACAGAAGCACTGAACCATATGGGGCAGCAATATTCAAAGCATGGATGATTCGTAAACTTATAAATATGCAAGATAAATTCAGGAGATAAAAATCGTCTAGCATGACACAATGATCTGACTTTCTTAGCAGTGGACCTATCAATAGATTCAATATAGTCTTTCCACTTCACATCGGCTGAGAATGTTAGACTGAGACAGTGCAATGAGTCACTCACATGGAGGTTAGCATCAGCCATGCTGATGAGAAGCAGGAAAGGGTCTTTCAGATGATTAATAGAGAGTGTAAATAATGACAACTAAGCAAAATTATTGTTAATTAATGCTAATGTTACTTAATTTTGTTATAGAATATTTTTCATGGACAGGATATAAATATGGCATATTTAGTTATTTATGATATCTATTTTGCATCAGTGTAAGCATTGGTTATTGTTGTTGAGTAGGTGTGGATTTGAGTTAGTTGTATTTTATAAAATAAGTTTTTAAAGTTTGATTAGTATATATGAATTTAAGCTTAATACTAGATTGGCAGTTCTTATAGTTGAAATGCCTAGATGTAACCCTAAGTTCTATGCTAACAGTTTTCTCTTGTGTACATCTCACTTGTGGAAATCTCTTCCGTCTTCTTGCTTCCCAGTCAACTTTGATCTTCAAAAATTTAAATGCAATGTCAATCGTTATCTTCTGTCTTCTTAATTCTTGTTCTTTTATTGTCTTCTCTCCTTAATAGTAGTTTTTCTCATATTCTCTCTAACACTCAGTGACATCTTGCGTCCTAGTGGCTTTATTGCCTTTGATCTTCAAAAATTTAAATGCAATATCAATCGTTATCTCCTCTCTTCTTAATTCTTGTTCTTTTATTGTCTTCTTTCCTTCATAGTAGTTTTTCTCATATTCTCTAACACTCAGTAACCCCTTTGCATCCTAGTGGCTTTATTGCCTTTGATTTAAAATTTAAATGCAATGTCAATTGTTATCTTCTGTCTTCTTAATTCCTGTTCTTTACCATTCTTTTATTGTTCTCTCTTGATTATAATGTTTTTCTTTGTTCTCAAATTCTCTCAAACTAAAAAATATCCTTTTTAGACTTAATATTTAGTTCAAATGTGAAATTAAGTATTCAGTTATTTTAAACGTTTGTTCTAAGTTTTTATTACATCATCCATGTTTTTAATTAATATAAATATATTTTTGATGTAGTAGGTGTGAATTATTGGTTTAAGGGTGTTTTTTTTTTTAAATC